TGAAGCTTTGTTTTAGAATTTTAAAAAATTATATTTAATAATACCATAGCTCAAAGATACTAAAATAACAAGGTTTAAAAGGAGACTGTGGACCTAAGGAAAATTCTGAGAATCAAAATAGCATCCTTGTATATGAACTACATGAATTAGAGAAAGCAATGGCAAAAATCCTATTTTCGAAATTTTAAATAAATTAACATGGAAGAAAGACTCTACAAAATAACAGTTACTTGTATTCAGAGGAAAAATCCAGTTTACAATAATTGCATAAATCATGAGAGCTGTGAAGGACAATGATGATCCAATGTAAGACTTACTGCGTTCTCGGAGGTAAAGACTCAACAAATGAACCTGAAAGGTATCGAGTGATATGACAGGGAAACGTTCCCTGATGTGAAAGAGCAAAAATGTAGTACACACTGGACAGAACACTCATGTCATCAACAAGAGAAAAGTGCCAGGCTGCCTTCGGACATTTCGTGCAATAGTCAGTGCTAGAATGGGGTGGATCAGTGGGATAGCAGGGAAAGAAGGGATAAACTATTAATAATATCCCCAGAAAAAAATAAAGCAGACACATTTAGCATGAAATATTTCAAGGTTTAACAAGCAAGCAAGCAAGCAAACAAAACTGTTTAACAGTGAAATACAAGTAGGGAGGAATGATTTGAATAATGAACCCAGTCACAGAGAAGCCATCATCTTACTGGTGGTGAACACTGCAGCCACTGGTATATAGAATTAAAAGCAAAGTGCCAAGGCAATTAATGTTGCAGAACAGAATGCAATTACTATCAACTCTGGAAAAGTTAAAATAATATAATTGCCCAAAAAACTGAAAACGGAAAAGGGTGAGGACCAATTGGAGAGAAACTAATCACCTCAAATTGCACTGCAGGGAGTTAATGACACTGCCTGAAACTGACACATTGGCTAAGTCATCCAGCTTCTAAATGCTATTCATAAACTTTATTGTTAACCTCAAGAGAAGCTTTACAAAAATTCTGGTTGCGAAGAAAAATTTAAGTTCAGTAATTCCTTTTAATTTATTTCAGATTATATTTCTTCTACTAAGTTAGTATATTATTACAAATAGCACGTATATGTCTCTCTATGTACCTTTTTGTTTGTGCAGATGTATAAACATATAACTGTGATGATATTCAACATATGTGAACATGTTTTTTTCCCTGGTGTAAAGATTTTGGGATGATTTGTAGTTATTTTTTAAAAACTTGAATAAAGACATTACAGTGAAATCATCAATTTCACCTGTATTAAACACCTGGAAGCAATATGATAATGATAATGATGAAATGATTACAGAAGCCCTCAGGTACTTCTGTGCATGAATTGGTTCCTGTGGGAGAAAGAAACCTATAAAGAGATTTATAGGGGAAAAGGTACCCCAAAAGGACAGGGTCAGGAGATTAGCGTGTTGTGTACCCCGGAAAGAGTTTGGGGAGCTCGCCTGGCCCCCGGCTCTGTCTGAACTCTGTGAAGCAGTACTGATCACACAAGGTGAGGCACCGGTTGTAGGGAAGCACTGAGTTAGCATCAGAGCTCCGACGCCGGTGAAATGACTGGGCAGGAGGGGGCGGAGCCTTACCCACAGCCCCGCTCACACAGGAATCATAAAGAAGACGAACGTCTGCTGGGCTTGGTGTTACTGAAACCGGGATTATCTGGTACAGTTCCCTGGCTCACGTGTCAATCTGTCATGCAGGATGCTGGGACTGGAGGGCAGTGGTGAGGAACCACCTTAACTAATGATCCTTGAACAGAAAAAAGTAAACAAGAGAGCTGTTTAATATCAGATGAAGTTAGGTAATGTTTAGAGAGGCCTGTATAGTGCCTGATGTCTGGTTAGAGTCAGTGAAATGCAGCTAATTTAACCCTGTTAGTACTCTGGACTAATAAAGTCTTGGGAAACATACTACATTTACATTAACAAAAAACAACAACAACAAAAAAGCCTGGGGTTTACATTGTCTTAATTTCCTGCTATTTCAAAAATTGTGACCTAATGTTAGACAATGTGCATTGAAGACTGATTCAGAATGTTATCATTTATTTAAGGTAGCCCCAAATTCCATATCTTTTAGTATTCTTCCTCTATGAAGAAAACTCTATTTAATTTCACAAATGTTCAAGGAGTGCTTACTCTCTGAAAACAACGTGTTAATTTGTAAGATTCATTGAATGCTAAGATATTTCAAAAAGATAACATGTTTTCTATGCACTGATATGATGGACCACTTAAAAAAGCTTTATTTTTTTTTATTTTTATTTTTTTAAGCATAAAAAAGAGAGTAAACTATGATAGATAATAATAGAACTCCAAATATCTATAGGGCTTTGGTGGTTGGGGAGGGAGGCCAGTTAGCTTGTAGACAGTAGAAATAGCTCCTGGTTTATCATGTTGAGACTAGAAGTAAGTGTGTGTCTTTGGGTAGCTGTATTTTCTGACAAATAGAAATCTCTCTATTACCTTTCCACATGCAGGATCTACATAATCAGAAGGTAACTTTAAATAAGAAAATTCTTTATTACAGATTAGAATTCTGGCTAGACATAAAGAAAGCAGCCTGTTCACACACACACACACACACACACACACACACACACACACTAAAATTGCAGGACAAAAAATCTGTACAAAGAAAAATTGTTGTACCTAGTAGTATTCATCTCAGCTTAATTCATTCTTTATAAGTACTTTATAAGTACCTTTAAAACTTAATAGATTTGCTTATCTTAGACCTACAGAAACTTTGACATTTTATTATATAAATATTTGAATGAGTAAAAATGTGTGAAAAGATTGACAGGTACATCAGAACACTTTAAAATGTAAATCTCATGTCTACTAGTACTGCTGAACTCTTTTGTATTCTTTCCTAACCTAAGAACTAAGTATTTTGAGAAGTTTCTACAAATTCACTGTATTAACGCGAGAACTAAGGCTCTGGGGAGTTGTGGCTGGCTGCTCACCAGTGAAGGGGCTTCCTGGTAGAGAATCCACGACCGTGTGCATTCGTGAACAAGAGATCCTACTGAGGGAACTGCTCGTGAAAGACAGTCTTCTCTTCATTTTAAATATTTCTTTCTGTGGTGTATGTGTAGAGAAGTTTTGAAGAAGTAAATGGGTCTCCTTCCTTCTCTGTTCTCAAGCCCCACCTTCCTGACTGCTGATGGGACATGCCCCCTGTTCGCAGGTACCCAGAGGCAACTGATGGTGACAGGGCCAGCTGGAAGGACGGCAACGGGACTGGAGATGGGAAAGGGAGCGTTTGGATTTCAGCTGCTCAGTGGGTATTAGAAATGCTGGCGAACTGAGGTTCAAGACTTTCTAGGGACAAAGGTTAGGAAGACTGCCTGCCACCATCTCACATGTTCATGTTATGAAATCAATGGATTCTTTCTTATTAGGCCAATAGATGGAGCAAACATGCATCCAATTTTCCTAGGAGAATCCTACTTTACACCCATAGCAGTACTCTCAAAAATGTTCCACCTGAGAAAGTAAACTCCATTTTCCTCTAAATTATATTCCCGGCAGCCCCTGTGCTTTGGTCTAGAATGGATGCATTTTCAAAAACATTCCTGCTTATGAATGCTCTCATATTCTTCCCTTGCTAAGTACTTCCTTGATTTCCATGTAGAAGTTTTCATCTCTTCAAATGTAATTTGTTTCGTAGTGCCAAACATAACAAGAAATCAATAATTAACTGAGGGGTGGTGACTTGCACTCAGAGGGGAGACACTAACGTGTGAGCCTGTAAAAATGTATTTTTCGTGTAAGCATGCTATTTTCCAGTTTTCATAAAAATAAAATCAAATAAAAACACCAATCAATTTTTAATTTTAAGTTTAATTATTTTTTTAGTTAATCATGTAATGTTAGATAGTCACACATGTGCCTATTGTGTTAGTTGTCTGACAAAAATCCAGAAAATAAAGTAATCTCAGTATAATTTCTCTAGTACCTAGAGTAGCAGCCAATAGAGTATATTAGTGAAACTCTTGCAGGTTCACATATAAGAAAATAAAAGTTAAAGTTAATATATTATCCTAATTTAAAGTTTTATATAAAATAATTCTGATTTCACTTTGATATTTAACGGAAATAAATGGCTTTGAAGCCAATTATCAAATTATGTCCTACTATGTAAACCATTTGCTAAGATAATATATAAGTAATATTGAAACACAATTCTCGTTTATAAAACATTTTCATATTTATAAAATAAGTTTAACAATCTTTCCACATTATATATAACATGCCTTCCATCTTTTCTATCTTAATAAATTTATTTCCACAGCTACATATATAATCCAGGGGAAGGTAAATAGATCGAAAGATTCTAGTCAGATTTTGATGTACTCAAGAACACTTATTACCTCCTGAGAGGTAACACACTTAAACCAAAATGAACAATGTCTAAATTATAATCTCTTAAATTTTAACATGCTGCTAAGTGATAAAACACACATAGCACAGACATACATTTGAAAGGATAATATTCTTACTTGGTTTAAATAATGTACATTCAGAAATAAATTTAACTTCTATACTAAGACTCTTTGTCATCTCTTTAAAAAGTGAATTATATTAAAACTAAAAATATTTGTAATATACTAAACTGTAATCATTTATTCAAGTCAATGTTTCCAGCAGAAATTATTCAAGATACATCAAATGCCCCTTTTGGAATTACTACTAGTATGTATTTTAAACTTCCTTTGAAATAGAGGGGCACATTTTATAGACTAACAAACACAACTATGCAGTTTAGTTCTAAATGGTTCTCTAATTTGTTAGTTTGAAACTAACCTTCATTAGTTTTTCGGTTTTTTAATTGTTTTGATTTCTTCAAGTCTTTAGCTTAAGGGAACTTAATTACATACTGAAGAGATAAGGGGGTTCTATCCTATTTCAAGCTAAAACATAACCTCTAAATTATCTTTTACAGTAAGCCAAAGCCAGTATCACATACCTTTCGGGAATGAATTTCTTTCACATACAATGGAAGTAGAAACTCAGATATACCTTCAAGTCGGATTCCCTTCTTGGTGACTCTCAGATTTCCCATACCATCCTACAAGCAACGAAATATAGTTCACTTTTAGGTTAATTAGAGAATGAATAACTGGCCATAATTTTCTTAGGCCTAAATTGAGAAAACAGTAAGCTCAAGTCAGTGATGATTTAAGGAAAATGAGAGATTGGATCTATTTAATGAATGTTTGCAGCATTTGCATGCATATTGAGGGCTCTGTTTAAAATGAACAGGATCAGAGAAATATAAAGGACCTGGTCTCTTCCCCCAGTTCTATCAGAGACTAGAATTTATCTATGAATAAATCCTCACTTTCTTCATGCACCAACCAGTTTCACTATTTATTAGGTATAATGATACTTGCTTTCTGACTATTGGGAGCAACTTTATTTGCAAAGATCTATACTCTTTTCACATTACATTTATACACATTTATACAATATTCAAATAGTCACGATCATATAATAATTTCAATAAGTAATTAATGATTGACTAGTATAAGTAAGCATGGTGTTTCAGTATTCAAACCATGAGTGAAGCGTATGTCCTCTCCTTTAGAAAATAATACTCCATGAGGCGGGTTAAACAAGGACACAGATAACACTTATGAGACAGAGTACAATAAACAGAAATGTAAGAACAGAATGCTAATTGGAATTAAAATAGGAGATTTCAAATCTGGCAATGGAGTATTACCAGATTCTCACGGAAGAGACTGATTATGACAAAGGCCTTAAGAATATGGGATTTCAACAGGAGATGTCCACAGAGGGACGAACACAATGAACATTCTGTCACGACACAGGAGATAGCAATGCCGTCCAATCTGCACAGTGCATGAAACATTGTGAGCGCACTACTGGGAGAATGCTGAGGCCAGAGGAGGGAAAGACCTGAATGCAAAGCTAAGGAGTCTGTACTGATTTCAGCCTCCAAGGGAAAAAAACATACAAAGTTCTTGAATAGCTCAAAGTATGGGTGCTTGAGCTTGAAGGTTTAGCTGGTAGAAATTCTCTGTGGGGCTAATTGACCGAGTATCAGTTAATAATGCACAATTTGGCATAACTGTGAGGAGTGTGGAGGAGGGCCAGCCTATAAGACCTCGTGACTAGCTTGATCCGGAGATGCTGAAATAGGGAGCATTTGCAATTAATCGAAGATCTCACCACTATGACTAGATAAGGAAATAGAGTGGTTTTTACACTAACTCCTGAAAATGTTTGGCTGAACGGCAAACATAAATTCAGCTTTGGACTTTCTTTTGAGGTATCATTGAAAATTTCAGTTATTAACTAATTAGCCATCACATCTACAGAAAGTGGGTCGGGGGATGACAATTACTTAAGGCATGCCTGAATCTCTCATGATGGATGAGCAAACACAGTGTGGAAAGACATATATAAAGCCAAGGAGAAACTTTTAGATAATAACTGAGGTCGGTGGGTTTGGAAGGAGTGTCTTACACATTCTGGGAGGCTGTAATACGTAATATAAGAGTAAACCAAGAGAGCATGACAGCTGTAGTGTCTCCCCCCTCACCCTAAAAGAAAGCAAATGAAGTAGTATAAATACAATTTTGAGTAAAAATTAAAAGACTTTTAAGTTAGACAAGGAAAATGACTAAGTGAGAGACATTTTTATGTGGTAAGGTTTCATTCTTCCCATCAAAGGAGAAAATGATAGATTTTGGTTGAATTAAACCAGGGATGGGAAGAAGAAATTCATTGCTTGAGGCTCCAGTAAAGCTGATATTGGAGTCCTGGCCACTTTGGCTCAGTGGTTAGAGTGTTGACCTGTGGACCAAAGAGTTGCGAGTTCGATTCTGGTCAAGGGCATGTACCTCAGTTGCGATTTGTCCCTGGCCCGGGTCAGAGTCATGCAGGAGGCAACCAGTCAATGTGTCTCTCTCACATCGATGTGTTTCTCCCTCTCTCTCTCTCCCCCCCCCCTTCTCCCCCCCATCCCTCCCTCCCACTCTGTCTGAAAATAAATGGAAAAATTTCCTCAGGTGAGGATTAAGAAATAAATAAAATAAAGTTGACACTGGAAATGCTTAATAGGGAACTGGCAAAAAATAAAAACTAATAGTAAATATGAGAATTTTAAGCATCATTAAAGGCTAATTCTGTTGAGAAAATGGTCTACTTTTGTTGGGATGATGACATACCCTGGTTTCCCTGAGACAGCTGTTAACCCCAGTTTTTTTTTTTTAAATGTAAAAACTTTTTACATTTATTTTTAATTATAATTGACATGCAATATTACATTAGTTTCAGGCACACACCATTATAATTTAACATTTATATACCTTCAAAGTAATCACTGGGATAAGTCTAGAACCCACCTAGCACTGTACAGTTATTACAATGTTATTGACTATATTATTTAGCTGTCTTTACATCCCCATGACTATTTTTATAGTTGGCAATTTGTACTTCCTAATCCTTTCTTTTTTAAAAATTAATTAATTTATTTTTGTTACAGATATTTCTCCCCCGCACTGATTTCCCCTCCCTCCCTCCCACTCCTGTACCCAGCTTTGTGGTCCATGTCCATTGTTCATGCATACGTGCATATAAGTTCTGCGGTTTATCTCCCCCCCCCTCCACCCACTCTTCTGGGGATTGTCAGTCTGTACCTCACTTCCACATCTCTGTGGCTACCCCATTCCTCACACTGTTATGTTCATTATATTCCACAAATAAGTGAGATCATGGGGTATTTGTCTTTTTATGCTTGGCTTGTTTTGCTTAGGATAATACTTTCCAGGTCCCTCCATGTCGTCTCAAACGATAAGAGATATTTTTTTCTTACAGCTGCATAGTATTCCACTCTGTACATGTACCACAGCTTTTCTATCCGTTCATCTACTAATGGACACTTGGGCTGTTTCCAGATCTTAGCTATTGTAAATAGTGCTGCTATGAACATGGGGGTACATATATTCTTTCTGATTGGTGTTTCAGGCTTCTTAGGGTATATTCCTAGAAGTGGGATCACTGGGTCAAACGGCAGTTCAATTTTTAACTTTTCGAGGTAACACAATAGTGTTTTCCATAGCGGCGGCACCGGTCCACATTCCCACCAGCAGTGTACTAGAGTCCCCTTTTCTCCACATTCTTGCCAACACTTGTTGTTTGACGATTTGTTGATGGCAGCCATTCTGACAGGTGTCAGGTGATACCTCATTGTTGTTTTAATTTGCATCTCTCTGATGATTAGTGACATTGAGCATTTCTTCATATGTCTCTTAGCCATTTGTATGTCCTATTTGGAGAGGTGTCTATTTAGTTCCTCTGCCATTTTTATTTGGGTTCTTTGTCTTCATTTTGTTGATTTGTATGAGCACTCTATATATTTTGGAAAGTAACCCCTTATCTGATGTGTCATTGGCAGTTACGCTCTCCCATAGACTGGGTTGCCTTTCCATTTTGGTGGTTGTTTCTTTTGTCATGCAGAAGCTTTTTAGTTTGATGTAGTCCCATGCATTTATTTTCTTCTTTGTTTCTGTTGCCTTTTCTGATGCATCAGTGAAAATTCTGCTGCGTATAATGTCTGAAATTTTGATGCCTACATTTTCTTCTAGGATTTTTATGGATTCATGAGTCACATTTAAGTGTTCTATCCATTTTGAGTTTATTTTTGTGTATGGTGTAAGTTGATGGTCTAGTCTCATTTTTTTTGCAAGTAGCTGCCCAATTTTCCCAACACCATTTATTAAAGAGGTTGTCTTGACTCCACTCTATGCTCCTGCCATCTTTGTCAAGTATTAATTGAGCATATTGTTTTGGGTCTATTTCTGGGTTCTCTATACAGTTCCATTGATCTATCTGCCTGTTCTTGTGCCAGTACCAGGCTGTTTTGATTACAGTGGCTTTGTAATATAACCTGAAATCTCGTGATGTGATCCCTCCAACTTTGTTCTTTTTTAAGATTGCTGTGCCTATTCCGGTTTTTTTTTGTTGTTGTTGTTGTTGTTTTTTTGGTTCCATACGAACTTTTGAAGTATTTGTTCTAGTTTTGTGAAGTATGTCGTTGGTATTTTGATGGGGATTGCATTGAATCTATAGGTTGCTTTGGGTAGTATGGGCATTTTAATAATGTTAATTCTTCCAATCCATGAACAAGGCATATGCTTCCACTTTTTTATATCTTCCTCTATTTCTTTTTTCAATGACCTGTACTTTTTTGCGAATAGGTCCTTCATTTCTTTGGTAAGTGTATTTCTAGGTATCTTAATTTTTTGCTGCGATGGTAAATGGGATTGTTTTTTAGTTTCTCTTTCTGTGAGTTCATCATTGGTGTATAAGAATGCCATCGATTTCTTGATGTTAATTTTGTATCCTGCTACTTTGCCAAATTCATTTAAGTCTAGTAAATTTTTGATGGAGTCTTTGGGGTTTTCTGTGTATAGTATCATGTCACCTTCAAATAATGACAGTTTCACTTCTTCCTTTCCAATTTGGATCCCTTTTATTTTTTCTTCCTGTCTGATTGCTGTGGCTAAGACTTCCAGTACTATGTTAAATAGGAGTGACAAAAGTGGGCATCCTTGTCTTATTCCTGTTCTTAAGGGAAATGCTTTTAGTTTTTGCTCATTGAGTATGATGTTGGCTGTAGGCCTTTCATATATGGCCTTTATTATGTAGAGATATGATCCCTCTATTCCCAGATTGCTGAGCATTTTTATCAGAAATGGGTGCTGGATTTTGTCGAATGCTTTTTCAGCATCTATTGATAAGATCATATGATTTTTATCTTTCATTTTGTTTATGTGGTGTATCACATTTTTTGATTTGCAAATATTGTACCAGCCTTGCATCCCTGGGATGAATCCCACTTGGTCATGGTGAATAATTTTTTTAATGTATTGCTGGATTTGATTTGCTAGTATTTTGTTCAGGATTTTGGCATCTATGTTCATCAGGGATATTGGCCTGTAATTTTCTTTCTTTGTAGTGCCTTTTTCTGGTTTTGGAATTAGAATTATGCTGGCTTCATAAAACGAGTTTGGAAGTTTTCCTTCTTCTTGAATTTTT